CAAGGCCATTTTGGAGGCGGGTCCGAGCGCCACCCACCCAATCGCCGAGGGACGCCCGTTGATCGACGGCCGCGCCTGGCCAAACGAAAGGCCGGGATGAGGGCGCGAGACAGAAGGCCGCCTCCGGACCAATGGACGGCGGCGGAGCGAGCCAATAGGAGCGGGCGCCGAACGGGTAGCCAATCCGAGCGCGCGGCGGCGGGCGGCGGGCGGCCAGTGGTGGCGGCAGCGGAGGAGGAGGAGGAGGCGGCAGCATCGCGGCGGGCTCTATGGCGTCCGTGAAGGGCACGAGCGGCGGCGGGCGAGGCGCCATCGCGGCCTTGGGGGGCGACGGGGAGCCGGGCGGCGGCCCGGGCGGGGGCCTGCCCTCCTCGTCGCAGTACGGGAACGGGCTGGGGGGAAGCTGCCCCGGGGGGGAGCAGGGCGGGGGGCTCCGCGAGGAGGAGGAGGAGGAGGAGATGCTGATCGACGAGGCGGGGGGCGGCGGCGGCGGCGGCAGCAGAGGCGGCGGTGGCGGCGGCGGCCCGAGGGGCGCCCTCTCGTCGTCGTCCTCCTCCTCGCTGCCCTCCCGGGTCGGCCCGGCCGGCGTGGGCGCCCCCCACCACCACCCTCACCCCGAGGAGCTGGAGGAGGAGGCCGGCCTGGGCGAGGGCGACCCCGGCGACTCCGCCATCGAGGACCCGGTGAGCATCCCGCGCTGGGCTAGGGAGGGAGGGAGGACGGGAGGACGGGGGCCCCGGGCTTGGGTGGAGGGATGGTTGGAGAAGGGAAGGGAAAAGAAAGAAAGGGAGGGAGGGGAGAATCTTGAAAAAAGGGGAAATTACCGAGGGAGGGAGGAAATAAGTGGGAATAAAAGGAAGGGATTTTAAAAAAGAGGAAAAATGAAACAGGAAGGAAGGAGATGGGAATAAGAAAAGGAGGAAGGGAAGGGTTTAAGAAAGAGGAAAATTAGGAAGGAAGGAAGGGAGGAGATATGGGAATAAGGAAGGGAAGGATTTAAAAGGAGGAAAATTAAGGAAGGAAGGAGATGGGAATAAGAGGAAGGGAAGGATTTTAAAAAGAGGAAAATTAAGGAAGGAAGGAGATGGGAATAAGGAAGAGGAAGGGAAGGGTTTAAAAAAGAAAAATTAAAAAGGAAGGAAGGAAGGAGATGGGAATAAAAGGAAGGGAAGGATTTTAAAAAGAGGAAAATTAAGGAAGGAAGGAGATGGGAATAAGGAAGAGGAAGGGAAGGGTTTAAAAAAGAAAAATTAAAAAGGAAGGAAGGAAGGGGATGAGAATAAGAGGAAGGGAAGGATTTAAAAGGAAAATTAAGGAAGGAAGGAGATGGGAATAAGAGGAAGGGAAGGATTTTAAAAAAAGGAAAATTAAGGAAGGAAGGAGTTGGGAATAAGGAAGGGAGGAAGGGAAGGATTTAAAAAGGAAAATTAAGGAAGGAAGGAGTTGGGAATAAGGAAGGGAAGGGCTTAAAAAGAAAATTAAAAAGGAAGGAAGGAGATGGGAATAAGAAGGGGAGGATTTAAAAAAGGAAAATTAAGGAAGGAAGGAGTTGGGAATAAGGAAGGGAAGGATTTAGAAAGGAAAATTAAAAGGGAAGGAAGGAGATGGGAATATGAGGGAGGGAGGAAAGGATTTAAAGGAAGAATCAAAGGAAGGATTTTTTTATTAAAAGAGGAAAAATTAGGGTGGGTGGGGGGAAGGAAGGAGATGGGAATAAGTGGAAGGAAAGGGTTTTTGAAAAAAGAGGAAAAATTAAAGATGAAGGCAGGAATGAAGGAGATGGGAATGAGAAGAAAGGAAGAGGAAAGAATTTTAAAAAAGAAACATTGAGGGAAGGAAGGAAAGAATCTTTAAAAAAAAAGAGGAAAAATGAAAGAGGCCGGGTGGAAGGAAGGAAGGAAGCAGATGGGAATAAGAGGAAGGGAGGAAGAGAAGGATTTAAAAAAGAGAGAAAAATTAAAAGAGGGCGCCTGGGCGAAAGGAAGGAGATGGGAATAAGAGGAAGGGAGGCAGGAAAATCTTTTTTAAAAAGAAAAATTAGAGGGAGGGAGGCAAAGAATGTTTAAAAAGGAAAAGTTAAAAGAGGAAGGAAGGAAAGATGAGAATAAGAGGAAGGGAGGGAGGAAAGAATTTAAAAAGAAAAATTAAAGCGGGCGGGAAGGAAGGAGAGAATTTTTTAAAAATGGAAAAATTAGGGAGGGAAGGAAGGGTAGAATTTTAAAAACCCTCATCCTCTCTATCTCTTCCTCTTGCCCCCCCCCCCACATGCTTGGGTGCAGAACAATAAGAGATGGAAGCTCTCTTTTTTTTTTTAAATGATCTTTTATTTTTTGAAATACAGCCTGGTTGCTTCAGCGCCGGGGGGGGGGGGGAGCTCATTGGGGAGAAAAAGCGATCACCCCCCCCCCCATTTTTCTTTTTTTGCGCATTTTGAAAACGAAAAGAGGGATGGATGGGAAAAGAGGGATGGATGGGGCAGGGCGGCTGTTTGCTGGGAGGAAAGATCCCACAGATCAGTGGGGCTTAATGAGAGATCCTTGCAGGGAAGGGGGGGGAGAGAGGATTGAAAAGGGTTGGGGGGGTCTTCTCCCCAGGGAAGGCAAAGGCAGATCCTGGAAGGAGGGAGGGAGGAAGGAAGGAAAGGGGGGGCGACGTCTGAGAGACACGTGGCTGCTTGAAAAATGCCCCTAAGCCGGATGCTTTGATGCAAGGGGGCCTTTTGGGATGGGAGAGCTCCAGGGCAGGAACTGCCTCCATTGCTTCCCTCTGGCCTGGGAACAAAAGAGCATTAGCCGAGGGAGGATGGGAGCCTCCCGCTACTACTTGGGCCAATCTGGGGGAAAGACCCCCTTTCCCGGCTTCATTAAAGGCCCAGGGGCTTCTGGAACAATGGCTTTTGGGAGGCGGTCCGCATGGAGCCAGTCATTTGTAGGGAATGTAATATATATATCTATATCTATCTCTATCTATATATATATCTATATCTATATCTATAGATAGATAGATAGATAGATAGATAGATAGATAGATAGATAGATAGATAGATAGATAGATAGATAGATGATAGATAGATAGAGGCTAGGTTTGGAAGAGAAATACGGGTCGTCCTCAGCTTAATGACTGCAATCGCCCGCCGTTAAAAATTTCCGTTGCTAAGTTGCCCATTGGTTAAGTGAGTTTTGCCCCCCCAAAGCCACCCAGTTCCTGGAGGTTTTTAAGGAGGGACGAGACAGCCACTTGTCAAAAATGGGGATAGGTTCTCCTGCTTGAGCAGGGGACTGGACTAGAAGACCTCCCAGGTCCCTTCCAGCTCTCTTTCCATTTTACGACCGACCTTGCCACCGTTGTGAGGTGAATCACGGCACTTATTTAAGCTAGTAACACCGTTGTTAAGCGAATCCCCCATTGGCTTTGCTTGTCAGGGGGTCGCCAAAGGGGCTCACGTGCCCCCCCCCACAGGACGCCATGATGGTCATAAATACGAGTCAGCCGCCAAGCGTCTGGATTTGGGTCACATGACCACGGGGGACGATGCCGCAACGGTCGTCAAGTGTGAAAAATGGCCATAAGTCACATTTTTTTCCGGCGCCGTTATCGCTTTGAACGGTCACTCGAACCAACGGATGTAAGTCGAGGACTTACCTGTATTGCTCCGTGCGATTGTTGTTCACGCCATGTGGGTTGTTAGGACAACTGAAGTGGGGTGGGTTGGAAAATGAGCAAAAAAAATGGGATCCGAGAGAGAAAATCAAGAGGCCAAGGGGTGGGCATCTCTTTGGAATGGCGTACAGGAAGCCCTTGACATCATAATAATAATAATAATAATAATAATAATAATAATAATAATAATAATAATAATAATAATAATAATAATGATGATGATGATGATGATGATGATGATGATGATGATGATGATGGTGGAAGAGACCTTGGAGGTCATCTTACGACTTAACAATTTGACCTCACAATTCTGTTGCTAAGGGAGATGTTTGTTCTGTGAATTTTGCCTCCTTTTGCGACCTTTCTCGCCACAGCGATTAAATCGCTGCCGTTGTTGAGTTAGTAAAACGGTTGTTCAGTGAAACCGGCTTCCCCCATTGACTTTGCTTGTTGGAAGGTCGCAAAATAGGACGACGGGACCCTGGGGCGCTGCAACTGTCATAAATCGAAGTCAGTTACCAAGCATTTGAATTTTGATCCCGTGACCATGGGGGGGTTGACGCAACGGTCGTAAGTGTGAAAAACGGTCCTAAGGCACTTTTTCCAGTGCTGTTATATCTTTAAACCAGGGGTCTTCAAGCTTGGCCCTTTGATGACTTGTGGACTTCAACTCCCAGAATTCCTCAGCCGGCGTGAGGGAACTATGACCCTTTCATGACTTGTGGACTTCAACTCCCAGAATTCCTCAGCCAGCGTGCCTGGCTGAGGAATTCTGGGAGTTGAAGTCCACAAGCAGGGGTCTTCAAACTAGGCCCTTTTATGACTTGTGGACTTCAACTCCCAGAATTCCTCAGCCGGCATGAGGGAACTATGACCCTTTTATGACTTGTGGACTTCAACTCGCAGAATTCCTCAGCCGGCATGAGGGAACTATGACCTTTTTATGACTTGTGGACTTCAACTCGCAGAATTCCTCAGCGTGAGGGAACTATGACCCCTTCATGACTTGTGGACTTCAACTCCTCAGCCAGCGTGCCTGGCTGAGGAATTCTGGGAGTTGAAGTCCACAAGTCATCAAAGGGCCAAGTTTGAAGACCCCTGTACTAACTTAACAGCTGTACTGGTTCACTTAACAAATGTGGCAAGGAAAGCCGTAAAACGGGACGTAAAACTCCCTTAACCAAATGTCTCACTTAGCAGCAGAAATGTTGGGCTCCGTTCCGATCGTCAATCAAGGACTTACCGATACTTCTGTCGGAAGCAGCCTTTGGGTTAAAAACAACTCAAAAAGGGACATTTTTCCCTCCTTCTTCCTGCTCATTTCTGCTGGTCCTTCCCTCCCCAGGAGCTGGAAGCCATTAAAGCCAGGGTACGCGAGATGGAGGAAGAGGCCGAGAAATTGAAGGAGCTGCAAAATGAAGTCGAGAAACAGATGAACATGAGCCCCCCACCCGGCAACGGTGAGCCCCTCCGGGAAATCTCCCGCTTTCTGAAATCCAGCTGCTCAGTCAGGGGACCAGTTTAATTATTAAGGGTTGCTTGCACACACACACACACACACACACACACACACACACACACACACACACACACACACTTTCATATAGGGATGTGAGTTTGTATTTGTATCCATGAGTATATATGACAGCCGCTTTGGTCTGATGGTTAAGGCACCAAATTAGAAAGCGGGAGACTGGGAATTCCAGTTCCACCTTAGGCATGAAAGTCGGCTGGGTGCCTTAGGGCCAATCACCAGGAGATTGGGAGTTATAGTCCTCAGTGTGAAAGCCGGCTGGGTGCCTTTGGCCCAGTCCCCAGGAGACAGTGAATTGTTGTCTCACCTTAGGCACAAACACTGGCTGAGTATCTTTGGGCCAATCATCAGGCGATTGTGAATTCTAGTCCTCTCTTAGCATGAAAGCTGGCTGGGTGATTTGGGGTCAATCACCAGGAGACTGTGAGTTTTGGTTTGCCTCAGGCACAAAAGCTGCATAACTTTGGGCCAATCACCAGGAGACGGTGAGTTCTAGTCCCACCTTAGGCACAAAAGCCAGGTAGGTGACTCTGGGCCGATCACCAGGAGACGGTGAGTTCTAGTCCCGCCTTAGGCACGCAAGCCAGCTGAGTGACTTTGGGCCAATCACTAGGAGACGGTGAGTTCTAGTCCTGCCTCAGGCATTTAAGATGCTGGCTGACTTTAGGCCAATCATCAGGAGACGGTGAGTTCTAGTCCTGCCTTAGGCATGAAAGCCAACTGGGTGACTTTGGGCCAATCACCAGGAGACGGTGAGTTCTAGTCCTGCCTTAGACACAAAAGCCAGCTGAGTGACTTTCGGTTATGGGGGAAATAGGAGAAAGCGGTGTTGGAGATATTTACCACTTGAGTTATTTGTCAAAATATTAAAAGCGGGATACAAATAAATAAAACGTACGTGTCTTTGTGCACAAGGTATACCAAAACTCGTGTCCCATAGGCCAATCACAATGTGCTTTAATTTTTTTTTTATCCTCGGAGAAAAAGTTTATTGTGCTTTGTTCAACATTCAAAGGTCATAAATTGGACAACGTGTTAAGGAAGCGTTTAATAGGAAATGGCAACCATTCAAATAATATAAGTATATACTCAAACGGTGGGGCCTCAGTTCTGGTACATTCTGTATCTATGAGTGGGTCTGTACTAGTGTGTGTGCATATATACACTTACACACACACACACACCACGTCCAAATCTCTCGAGAAGCTAGATTGTCCCTTGCTGGGTAGACTGAATCATATCTTTGCTCTCTTGAAATGGGAAAATGGCCTGGCAGGGTGGTGTTAAACGACATTCTGCCTGCTGGGAACACCAAAAGACCGATTGCCTTGTGATTGTCACGTGTGTGCGGTTAATTGCAGGAAAGTAGCAACACACACTGCTCTGGAAAAGCGACAGAAATTCTCTTTTGCGTTAGCTAAAAGTGACTAGGAAATTCGGGCCTTGAAACTGAGGAAAAAGCATTCCGTGGTTGAATTGGATGTTAGCTAGAACTTGCTACCTTTGTAGTCAGGATAGTTTGCTTTGCAAACACACACACACACACACACACACACACACACACACACACACACACACACACACGGCTGTTCCTGAGTAGCGGCAGGCAGGAAAATTTCTCCATTCCACAATGGTCTCAAAGGTTCTTTTTCAAAAAAGGCCACTTGACTGCGTTTTCTTGAGGGACAAGAAGGCATTTTGCTGCTCACCCAAGAAGCTTCATCTATGAAACTTCTGGGATAAGAAGCTAAAAGTCATCTTCTTACACAAGAACAGATTTAACAGAGCTGGAAGGGGCCTTGGAGGTCTTCTAGTCCAACCCCCTGCTCAGGCAGGAAACCCTAGACCTTTTCAGACAAATGGCTGTCCAGTCTCTTCTTAAAAACTTCCAGTGTTGGAGCATTCACCGCTTCTGGAGGCCGGTTGTTCCACTGGTTCATTGTTCTAACTGTCAGGAAGTTTCTCCTCAGTTCTAAGTTGCTTCTCTCCTTGATTAGTTTCCACCCGTTGCTTCTTGTCCTGCCTTCAGGTGCTTTGGAGAATAGCTTGACTCCATCATCTTTGTGGCAGCCCCTGAGATACTGGAAGACTGCTATCCTGTCACCCCTAGTCCATCTATTAATTAAACTAAACCATTTCAGACAAATGGTTGTTCAGTCTCTTCTTTAAAACCTCCAGTGTGGGAGAACCCATAACTTCGGGAGGCAGGTTGTTCCACTGGTTGATTGTTCTAACTGTCAGGAAGTTACTCCTTAGTTCTAGGTTGCTTCTCTCCTTGGTTAGTTTCCATCCGTTGCTTCTTGTCCTGCCTTCCGGGGCTTTGGAGAATAGCCTGACTCCCTCTTCTTTGGGGCAGCCCCTGAGATACTGGAACATTGCTATCGTGTCCCTCCTCGTCCTTCTCTTCCTTAAACTAGACAGACCCAATTCCAGCAATCGTTCCTTGTATGTTTTAGCCTCCAGTCCCCTGATCATCTTTGTTGCTCTTCTCTGCACTCTTTCTAGAGTCTCAACATCTTTTTTTACATCGTGGCGAGCAAAACTGGACGCCGTATTCCAAGTGTGGCCTTACCAAGGCCTTGTAAAGTGGTATTAACACTTCACGTGATCTTGATTCTATCCCTCTGTTAATGCAGCCTAGCACTGTGTTGGCTTTTTTGGCAGTTTCTTCCTGAAAAAAAACAAAAACAAACAGTCCAGCTGCCTTTTTGAAAAAGCACCTTTGAGACAACCATGACCTGGATGATGGAGAATTTCCGTAGATATTTTACTTTCCACATTATTTAATAATTCTGTTGGTTAATTGGTTGGTTAATTCTCTCTCCTCTTTCCTGTCTCTCCCCTCCCCTCTCTCTCTCCTCTCCTCTTTCTCCTCTCCTCTCTCCTGTCTCTCCCCTGTCCTCTGCCCCCTCTCCCCTGTCTCTCCTCCCTCTCCTCTCCTCTCTCCTGCCTCTCCCCTCTGCCCCCTCTCACCCCCTCTCCTGTCTCCTCTCCTGTCTCTCTCCTTTCCCCCCTCTCCTCTCTCTTCTCTCTCTCTCCTGTCTCTCCCCTCTCCTCTGCCCCCTCTCTCCTCCCCTCTCCTCTTTCTCCTCTCCTCTCTCCTGTCTCTCCCCTGTCCTCTGCCCCCTCTCTCCCCCCCTCTCTCCTCTCACACCTCTCCTCTCTCCTGTCTCTCTCCTCTGCTCCCTCTCTCCTCCCCTCTCCTCTCTCTCTCCTGTCTCTCACCTCTCTCCTCCCGTCTCTCCCCCCCTCTGTGTCCTCTTCTGTCTCTCTCTGTCCCCCCTCTCTCTCCTGTCTCTCACCTCTCTCCCGTCTCTCTCTCTCTCCTCTCTCTCTGTAGCTGGCCCGGTCATCATGTCTTTGGAAGAAAAGATGGAAGCCGACGCCAGATCTATATACGTAGGAAATGTGAGTTTCTCCCCCCCCCCTCCTTACACCCTAGCTTTCTTCAAGCGAGGACGAAGCCTTGCCTCCTGAACCGGACCCGTCTTCCATTTCAGGTAGATTATGGGGCCACTGCAGAAGAATTGGAAGCCCACTTCCATGGTTGCGGTTCCGTCAACCGCGTGACGATCCTGTGCGACAAATACACAGGCCATCCGAAGGGGTGAGTGGGCTTTTCCAAGGAGGGAGATTACTCTTGGCTTGAGAGTCGCCTTAAAGCTCCAGAGGTGGTCCGGTAGAATAGAGGTAGGCCTCAGCCCTTTCGTTGGGTGAACGTTTGAAGTTAACGGCATCGAAAGAACCGACTTGCGACCATTTTTCGTATTTATGACCGTTGCAACATCCCAGTGATCAAAATTTGGAGGCTTGACAACCGTATTTATGACGGTTGCCATATCCTGGGGTCACACAACCCCCTTTTACGACCTTCTGACAAGAGTCGATGGGGGGGCAGATTTACCTCACAACCGGGGGACTAACTTTTAACCCCTGCAGTGATTCACTTACTGACTGTGGTGTGGGCCAGAAAGGTCGCAAAATGGGGGCAACACCCACTTAACCAAACGGTCTTGCTTAGCAGCAGAAAAGTTGGGCTCCGTTGTTGTAAGTCAGGGATGGCCTGTATTGTCCCGCGACCTCTCTTGATCGATTCAAGTACTGATAAGTCCTCGACTTAACAATTCATTTTAAAGTTGCGACAGCGCTGCAAAAACAAGTGACTTGCCACCGTTTTTCGCAAATTCACAACGGTTGCGGCAACCCCGGGCAGCAAGCAAGGTGGTAAAAACGGGTCAAAACCCGCTTAGAGCAGCAGAAATTTGAGGCGCAGTTGTCGTAACTTGAGGAGCCTGAACTGTCTAATTGTCCGTCTTCCTTCCACTCATCTTCTCAAGGTTCGCCTACATTGAATTTTCCGACAAGGAGTCGGTGCGGACTTCGTTAGCGTTAGACGAATCCCTCTTCAGGGGGAGACAGATCAAGGTGGGTACGCCCTTTTCACAACACACACACCCACACACCCCGCTCTGTGCCCGACTCCCCAATAGCTTTTGTGGCCAACCCTCGGACTGAACCATCTAAGCCAGGGCTCTTTTATGACTCGTGGACTTCAACTCCCAGAATTCCTGAGCCAGCATGAGGGAAACTTTGGCCCCTTCATGACTCGTGGACTTCAACTCCCAGAATTCCTGAGCCAGCATGAGGGAAACTTTGGCCCTTCATGACTTGTGGACTTCAACTCCCAGAATTCCTCAGGCAGCATGAGGGAAACTTTGGCCCCTTCATGACTTGTGGACTTCAACTCCCAGAATTCCTGAGCCTACCTGGCTCAGCTTGGAAATCTCTCCCTTTTCCCTCAGCGTGGCTGGCTCAGGAATTCTGGGAGTTGAAGTCCACGAGTCATAAAAGAGCCAAAGTTGCCTACCCCTGGTCTAAGCACTGAGAAGGGGAGGTTTCTGCTTCGGAGCCCTTCCCTTCGGGACCGCTCCAGTGTGGAATTCCCCCCTGCGCTCTCTCAAGCTTGGCGGTTTTCTTGCAGACATTTCGTGACCCAGCTGGGGAGCCTCATCAGTGCTAGAAGGCCGTGGTGGGGCTTGTGGAGAGGAGGAGAAAGAGGAAGGATACTGATGTGTTCAGTGCACTGATGATGGCAACAGGTTTGGTAATGAAACGTCAAGAAAATCACCAAGCTCTGAGAGCACCAAGGGTTCCTCCTCTTTCCCTTCCCCTCCACTCCACAAATCCCACTCCTTTTTGGAACTGATGATGTTCCCTAGTTGGGTCTTGAAATGTCTGCAAGAAAGCCACCGAGCTCAGAGAGCACCCAGGGCCCCACAGTGCAACTCTTCTCCCCTATACGATGAATCGCCTCTGTTACGGAGAGGTGTCTGCATTCTCTGGGGTACAAGCAGAAAGGTGAGCAATTGTTACCCCCCTGAGCCTGACCTGCAAGATTAGGTGTACATCCAAACTGAACAACTGTGTTGTTTCTCTGAGCCATATATGTGTGTATGTGTGGGTGTGTGCATTATTATAACTGTCATGTTTATGCAGTGTATATAGGAGGTGGTTACTCTTTGAGAGCTGTGTGCAACAAAATCTCATTTTAATGTATGCTGATTAATGTACATTTAAGGTGACATGCTATTCTGTTCTATTTTATTCTATTCTGTTCTTTTCTGTGCTAATCTGTTCTGTTCTATGTTATTCTATTCTGTTCTATTCTGTTCTGTTCTATTCTATGTTATTCTACTCTGTTCTGTTCTATGTTATTCTATTCTAATCTGTTCTATTCTATGTTATTCCTGTTCTATTCTATGTTATTCTATTCTGTTCTAGTCCTGTTCTGTTCTGTGTTATTCTATTCTAATCTGTTCTATTCTATGTTATTCCTGTTCTATTCTATGTTATTCTATTCTGTTCTAGTCCTGTTCTGTTCTGTGTTATTCTGTTCTTTTCTGTTCCAATCTGTTCTTTCTATTCTGTGTTATTCTATTCTGTTCTAGTCCTGTCCTGTTCTATTCTATATTATTCTATTCTGTTCTAGTCCTGTTCTGTTTTATGTTATTCTGTTCTGTTCTTTTCTATTCTGTTCTGTTCTTATTCTATTCTGTTCTATTCTGTTATTCTGTTCTGTTCTAATTAATCTAATCTAATCTAATCTTACTTTTAGGTGATTCCCAAACGGACCAACCGCCCAGGCATCAGCACCACAGACCGAGGCTTTCCCCGGACCCGGTACCGAGGGCGAGGATCCGGCTACAGCAGTTCCAGGGCCCGTTTCTACAGTGGCTTCAGCAGTCGTCCGCCCCGAGGGCGTGCATACAGGTCTGACCCAAAGGGGAAGGTGGGGGAAGTGGGGAACCGATCCACCCTAGGTCAGACACACGCTCGCAGACGGCCAGGGAACGGAGCTCCTGGATTAGAGTAGCGATCCCGGGCTTAAAACCTCTTGGCATCTCTTTTTATTGATCACCTGAAACAGACCAATGAAAGGGATCCTGCAAGCCAGAATACAGCTGGTCCTCGGCTTATAACAGTTCACTTAGGGACCATTCAAAATGACAACATCACTGGAAGAAAAAAAAAGGGACTCTGCCATTTTTCACACTTAACGACCGTCGCAGTGTGCCCATGGTCCACGTGATCCAAATTCGGACGCTCAGCAACCGATTCGTATTTATGACGGTTGCAGTGTCCCGGGGGGGCGTCACGTGATCCCGTTTTGCGACCTCCTGACAAAGTCAATTGGGGGGGGGAGAAGGGAAAAAAAGAGGGAGGAAGGAAGGAAGGAGAAAAAAAGAAAAAGGGAAGGAAGGAAAGAAAGAAAAAGGGAAGGAAGGAAAGAAAGAAGGAAAGAAAAAGGGAAGGAAGGAAGGAAAGAGAAAAAGAAAGAAAGAGAATAAAGAGGAAGGAAAGAAAGAAAAAGGAAAGAAAGAAAGAAAAAAAGGGAAGGAAAAAAGGAAAGAAAGAAGGAAAGAGAAAGAAAAAGGGAAGGAAAGAGAAAAAAAGAAAAAGGGAAGGAAGGAAGGAAAGAAGGAAAGAGAAAAAGGAAAGAAAGAAAAAGGAAAGGAAAGAGAAAAAAGGAAGGAAGGAAAGAGAAAGAAGGAAAGAAAGAAAAAGGAGGAAGGAAAGAAAAGGGAAGGAAAAAAGGAAAGAAAGAAAAAGAAGGAAGGGAAAGAAAAAAGGTAGGAGGAAGGAAGAAAAGAGAAAGAAAAAAAGAAAGGGAAGGAAAGGAAGGAAGAAAGAAAAAGGGAAGGAAGGAAAGAAAGAAAGAAAAAATATGGCAAAGTCATAGGGACGGATTTCGCAAAAGGTCACAGCCGCCCCGTTTGGAAATGCGGATGTAGTTTTTCACATTTGAGGATTTCGGCCCCGTGTCTTGTAGGTTTTTAAAAGCTTTTTTTTCCTTTTTTTAAAATACCTCTTTCGTTAACCTGTTTCCTTCTTCTCTTCACAGGGGCCGGGCCAGAGCGACCTCATGGTATTCCCCTTACTAAAAACAAAAAAAAACAAAACAAAAAAAATGGTTGTTTTAGGAAGGAGGAAAAAAAAAAAGAAAAAAAAATGAAGATTGTTACCATGACGGAAAAAAAAAAATTATATATATATATATATACATACTGTTGGCGGGAGGAGGTTGCTTCTGTGCAGAGAAAGAGGGTTGACCTATACGGGAGGGGAGGGGAGAAAACAAACTTGTGGGTCGGCCGAGCTTGTTGTTAAAACTGCCTGGGAGTATTGTCGAGAGTCTTTCCCTTCTCCGCCCTTCCTTCCCCTTTTTGCAGATTTTGGGGGGGGGGAGGGAATTCTTCCTCTGTGTTTTTACAAGGGGGCAGGCAGTGCCTGGGGGGGGGCTTTGGGAAGTTGTCCCCTCCGGATTCTGTGACTCTTTTGTTTTCCTTCTACACCCTTGCTCTCCATTGCGTGTGTTCGTGTGTCTGTGCATTTGTTTCCCGGTTTGGTTTCTGCTGCCTTTTCGTTGCTTTGCTTTGCCCCTGCCTTGCCCTTCCTCCAACCTAAACAGATTAGCCCCGGAAGAAGCTGGCATTCACGGCTTCGTAGCCGGAAAGAAGCTGGCTTAGCTGGAAAAAAGTGGCATTCACGATTTTGTAGCTAGAAAGAAGCTGGCATTCATAGCCTGAAAAAAGCTGGCATTTATGGCTTCGTAGCTGGAAAGAAGCTGGCATTCATAGCCTGAAAAAGCTGGCATTCATGGCTTCATAGCTGGAAAGAAGCTGGCATCCACGGCTTCATAGCCAGAAAGAAGCTGGCATTCCTGGCTTCGTAGCCAGAAAGAAGCTGGCATTCCTGGCTTCATAGCCGGAAAGAAGCTGGCATTCACGGCTTCGTAGCTGGAAAGAAGCTGGCATCCACGGCTTCATAGCCGGAAAGAAGCTGGCATTCCCGGCTTCGTTGCTTGCTACCTTTGGCCCAGACATCCCTCGCCCGATCTCTGTTTCTGCCCAGGACATCCTCAAAAATGCCACATCCCATTCTGGGATTCTTCCCTGCTTCTGCCCTCTTCCCCCATCACCCTTTGGGTCCTTTTCTCTGGATTTTGTCCTGAACTCAAAAGCATTGTTCTAACACCCCCCCCCCAAAGGAACGGGTGATTCCCGTTTAAAAACGGCTCCTTCCTTCCTTCCTTCCTTCCTTCCTTCCTTCCTTCCTTCCTTCCTTCCTTCCTTCCTTCCCATGCCCACCATTTCAGGTTGTAGGTGTCCCGCGCCCCTCAATTCTTCCTCCTTTCTCTTTCTCTCTCACTCTCTCTCTCTTTCTCTATCTATCTGTCTATCTATATCTAAGGGGGTTTGTTTTATATGCCTTGTTTGAGTGTCTTTATCTTTACAGGTTCCTTTATTTTTTAGCCTGAAGAAATAACACCGAAACCTGAAGCTGTAGAGAAACCAGGGCCAGGGCAGGGGGGTGGGGGGGAAAAAAAAAAGAAATTAAAAATTTAAGAAAAAAATCTCCCCGGAGGGGTTCGTTGGGTATTGGGAACCAGAATGACTTTTTAAAAAAAAACCAGAAAAAGAAAGAAAACGGGAGGGGGAAAAAAAAGAAAAGAGGGAAAAAAAAACATTTCAGGTTGGAGGGAGGGAAACAGAGGAAGAAGCCAAATGTTATAAGGGTGGAAAAAAAATAAAATAAAAAATAAAGATGTTTTTGGAAGAAACGAGCGTGGGCGGTGGTGCCTTTTGTTCGGCTGCTGCCGAAAAGCCGGCTCGACTTTAAAACGACGAGTTTGCGGGTCTGCGGCTTCGTTTAGCGACCGTTTCAAAGTTACAAACGGCCCTGAGAAAAGCGACTTTGGCGACCGGGTTTCATGCTTAGCGTTGGCTGCATCTCCCCCCCCCCCCCCGGTCGCCACCTGATCAAAATTCATACGCTTCGCAACCGGCTCGTATTTATGACGGCCGCAGCATCCCCGGGATCGTGAACGACTCCAGAAGCCACATTCACAGGATCTGGACAGACTCGAACACTGGGCGCTATCTAACAAAATGAAATTCAAGGGCGAAAAAAGAAAGGTTCTACATTTAGGCAGGAAAAACCAAATGTACAGGTATAGTATAGGGGGTACCTTGCTCAATAGTAGTAACTGTGAGAGGGACCTCGGAGTCCTAGTGGACAATCATTTAAATATGAGCCAGCCGTGTGCTGCAGCTGCCAAAAAGGCCAACACAGTGGTAGGCTGCCTTAACACGGATAGAATCAAGATCACGTGAAGTATTAATACCACTTTACAAGGCCTTGGTAAGGCCACACTTGGAATACGGCATCCAGTTTTGGTCACCACGATGTAAAAAAGATGTTGAGACTCTAGAAAGAGTACAGAGAAGAGCAAAGATGATTAGGGGATTGGAGGCTAAAACATATAAGGAACGGCTGCTGGAATTGGGTATGTCTAGTTTAATGAAGAGAAGGACGAGGGGGGACATGATAGCAGTATTCCAGTATCTCAGGGGCTGCCCCAAAGAAGAGGGAGTCAAGCTATTCTCCAAAGCACCAGAGGGCAGGACAAGAAGCAATGGATGGAAACTCATCAAGGAGAGAAGCAACCTAGAACTAAGGAGAAACTTCCTGACAGAACAATTAACCAGTGGAACAACCTGCCTCCAGAAGCTGTGAGCGCTCCAACACTGGAAGTTTTTAAGAAGAGACTGGACAGCCGGTTGTCCAAAATGGTACTATAGGGTTTCCTGCCTGAGCAGGGGGGTTGGATAGTTGACCTCCAAGGTCCCTTCCAACTTTAATATTACTTAACTGCAGTGATTTGGTTAACAACGACAAGTTGAAAGGCCATAAAACGGGGCAAAAATTTGCCAGAGAAATTTGGGGCTCACTCGCTTGGCCATAAGTCAGGGACTACCTGTCGAATGGCATGCCTGGTTGATGACAGCTATTACTCCAGGTGGCTGAACTGGCCTACACAGGCCGCCCTTGACTTTTTAACAGCCACTTGTTTAGTGACGGCTCCAAGTCAACAATGATGCTGAAAAAAGGGTGATTTACAACCACTCCTTGCACTTAACGACCGTCGCAGCAGCAGCCGCCCCAGGATCACGTGCTCAGATTTTGGCTGATTTACAATAGATTTGTTACAATGGCAGTCATTTCACCTAACAGCTGTGGAAAGGAAGGTTGTAAAATGGGGTTGTAAACTCGTTTAGCAACAGAAAGTTCTAAGTTTGAGGACTACCTACATTCATGTGAGGTTTAAGGGACGGAGCACATTCTGGTCCCGGTTTTGACGGTGCGACGTTTCTGTGTCATGGGTGTGCATGTGGGTATACGCACGATGGTATTTTTGAGAGCTGAACACAACGAAATTTCATTTTAAGGTATGCTGATTAGTGTACATTTAAAGTGACAAAAAAAAGTTTTTATTCTATTTTCCATTCCATTCCATTGTTCTGTTTTGTTCTATTATATTTATTCTATTCTATTCTATTCCCATCCCATTCCTTTCTATCTCCTGTCCTATCCTATCCTATCCTTAGTCTATTCTTTATTTATTCTTATTCTAGTCTAGTCTATTCTCTATGCTCCATTCCAATCTCATCCCATTCCTTTCTGTCTCCTACTTTTATTCTATTCTATTCTCATTCTATTATTTATTCTTATTCTAGTCTATTCTATTTATTTTAGTCTAGTCCAGTGGTGGCAAACCTATAGCACGGGTGCCAGAGGCGGCACTCGGAGCCCTCACTGTGGGCATGTGTGCCGTCACCCCAGTCCTAGGCCTTCAGCTGGGTTTTATAAAACCTTTTCGCTTTAGGCCTCCGCCGCCGTGTGCAAAAAAAAAAGGTTCAATCAATCAATTTCAACTTCTCACGGGAAAAAAAGATCTTGCAAAGTTGGAATTGATTGAACTTTTTAGTCCCACCCAGTCTGCCGTTACCACCGCAGCCATACCCACCCAATGGGCCACACCCACCCAGCACCCGACGATGCATAAGTGGGTTTTGGGTGGCAGTTTGGGCACTCGGTCTCTAAGAGGTTCGCCATCACTGGTCTAGTCTATTCCTCTCTA